CTACCGGCTAGTGGCTCCATTGAGATGTGCGAAAAAGTTCAAACACCTTGACGGGCTGTGAGAATCTTTTAAAGAGCCCTGCGGCAAAGCTATTGCACAGCAGCCAGCATAATAAATCTCAGAAAAATAAAAAACAAGAAAATATTTCTCTTATGTAAACGAAACCTTTTTTTTAGAGGCCGTTATCAAACCCCCCTGACGACGTTTAGCAAGCGCTTTGTAAATATTTAAACTGGTCTCGATTGTTTTGCAAAATCGTTGCATTTGGTCAAACACGTGTTCGAGATAATTTAATTAAATTTACTTGGCTTTTGTGTTTTTTAGCCGAGCTGTCTAAACTACCGCCCCGCCAAAGCCGGCCACGTGCCGCGCCGTTCGATCGGCCACCCCCTCGACCGGGGCACACAACAAGTTGCACTCGAAACCGAACTTGACTCAAGTGGCAAACACTTCAGCACTTGTGCCCGATGCGGTCCGGGTGGGGGTAATTTTTCGATTGTGGCAAGTGCAATTTGCCAACAACTTAAGGGCTGTTACTCGGGAGGGGCATACAACTCTCTCTCTATACCTCTCGGATAGGATGAGTATCTGTTACGGTGTCTATCGCCTTTTTCCATCGGAAACTTTGGTGGTCTTTCGCGCTCCTCTGTTTGGATCACAGACAAAGCAACTGTCATATGTTGTCATTTCCAAAGATACTTTTATTGTTAAACAAACCGACGGCATCTGCCGTTTTGACAATACCACATCTCAAATCCACAGAGAGCACAGAGCGTCTTAAGCAAATTCCATGAATAGATGATGATGACTTGAAGAACTTGGACTGCGCTGCGCCTCGGCTGTCCCTCTCTAGAATCTTCGCCTGAGACAAAATCTCAATAGAATCAGAGAGACTGAAACTTAAAATGATTTATGCTTACGGTGTGCGTCTCATTCGACTGCTGCTGTTGCTGCTTCCCTCGACATTACTCCGAGCTAATTTGCATATTGGTCTGCAGCCCGGCCCAGAAACAGCAGGAGGAACGGCTACGGCCAGGATCCCAATAGGACCAGGACTTGCGGCACACTTGAGAAAATGCATAAAAGGAAACTAATTAAAATGTTCGCGCCTCAAATTTCCTTACTATCCCCCAACCCCGCCTTTCCCACTCGACACCGGCTTATTTATGGCTCGCCTCTGTGAATGTCTTGCATATGGCAAAGTCAAAAATATTGCTTTGTTTTTCCTTCCTTTCCTTTATGGTTGACAAATGGGGCATTTACATGCGCGTCTTGTTCGGGCATTATGTACATTTAATTTATTCATGGCTACGATTCGAAAATGGCGTCGGGCCAAATCATGTGGAACCTCATCAAATACTCACTTTCCTAAAAAGCGTACGAAGTAATAAAGTATTAGAAGGATTTACATTTTAAAAAATATTTCTTGATTTGCCATCCAAGAACTTTAGTAATACTTATAAATAGTAATATCGATTTTACTAATCGAAACGCTTGGGAAAGCTAATGAAGTCTAAATAATTAGTTCTTCATTTCGTACTTACATTTTAGCCACACTTTTTGCAGAGTGTCAAGCTGCTGATCATGAGCTCGGAGATGCCTTTGCTTTATTTTGTCTGTTTATCTATCTTAAAAGTGTACTATTAATGATTCATGTGAGTTCCCTTAATCACAATCAAGGTTGTCGTTAAGATCTTAATTATGAGCAGTTGACTTTTGGCCAACTTTCAAAACCACCAATTTCCCAGCTCAGCCGAAGCTGTCATCGGTGTCATTTGGCTGAACATCTCTTCGGCTTATTGTCTTTTTGTTTGTTTTGGTTAAAAGTCAATCCGCACATTTAATGGCAGCGTTTGTGATAATGAGGACAACTTTGCTAATCCCTTAAGTCGCACGCAGTTGCAGTCACAGCGAGAATTTAATTGTCAGTCACGCGGACCTGAAACCGTGGCAGAGGCCCAGGCTGAGGCCGAGGCTGTGGCTGAGGGGCACGGGATTAAGTTGCCAGAAAATTATTTAGCAATTGGTTAGTGAGCCTGCCATGTAATCCAATTGAAAACAATTCAAATTTGAGTCACCAATGATTTTGAATGGTCGCCGGCAGTCGTAAATGCGACACACAGACGACAAAAACAAACAACTGCCAGGGGTGGGAGGCAGTACGAGGCAAGGCGCGCCGGAGTGAGGTGAGGTGAGGTGTTCTATGACAGCTGCCAGGCGGCAAACAAAATTCGGTCCCGGTCCCGGCCCCTGGGCCAGTGCCCGTGGAGAATAGCGCGTGATAAAAGGGGTTAATCGAACGTCCGCTGGAGTTGGACCAGCGACCAACCGACAGCCAGACGGACTATTCGCCCGGGAGCATCGAAGTCGCAGACCCTGGCACAGATTTTGTGGTCGCCGCGGCGCTAATGAGTGCCGCATACTTTCGCTTCTGTTCGGTTGGCCCGGTAAAATTCAAATTTTTCTTGGATTTTGCGGAAAAACAAATCATTTCGTTTTGCTTCGGGTTCGGCTTCGTTGAAAAACTTTGCTCCAGCAATTGGTTAATTAGCGACGCCTGGGGACATCTTTTGTTGCCCTTTTGATTCGAGCATTAAATATGGATGTACTTGGAAATTCCGCTGCTCATTGACTCTTTCTATTCTATTGGGAAACATTTCGACTGTCACTAGGTTTCCGAAATAGACGCCAACTGCAACAAAATAGTTGGGGGGATACAAATATTGAGATCCATGTTCGGGCATACTTTTCTCGCTCTCCATTTGCTGCACTTTTTAGCTTGAAATAACATATGCAAGCATGACAACCCGTACGGAGATTAAAACACCCCCCACATTAGTTCACAGAAGCATGTCGGCGTCTCTCTGAATGGAATCGACCCTACGACCGCATAGTGAGAAACCGCAAATGCGGAAAATGCAAATAGTTTGACTGACTGACTGCCCGTTGTTTTTCCTAACGAGGCGTGAAAATGTGAGGGCGGTTTCGCTTATGTTTGTAATTTTAACATGACACGACCCAATGCTAATCCAGGAGGTGGCACCAGTTGTTGTACGAGTAGGTACTCGAAATTGTTTGACAACTTGCTTAGAGAATAGGAAAATCCAAGTGCAGTTCATTATTTGTTTGACTTTTTAGTCAAAGTGAAGTAAACATAATAAATGAATAAATAAAATATAATATTAGAAAATTAATAAATTAAAAAATAAGTATTTAAAATTTAATAAAATTGATGAACAGTTGAAGACAATGTCAAAATGTCTAAGAAGATATGAAAGAGGTGCTTACTGCATTTGCTAATTCACATTTTTAAACAATACACAATATTTAACATATATTGAAATAATTTAAATAAATTTTTATCAGTTCATTTTGGCAAAAATTTGTTTTATTTTTTATATTTTACGCGCATTAAAACTATTTTTCAGTTTTTTATTTTTTCAGTTTCATTTTTCCGTTCGTTTCGCTGCGCACTGCTTGCCGCGTTGCACTGCTTTGCCGACATGCGGCTAAGAGCAGCAGTCTCGCTCTCGCTCTCAGCAAAGTGCTCTCTTTGGCTGATGGATTAAATCCCGCTGAAACCAGATTGGCCAATCAGCGGCGGGCACACAATGACATTTTGTTTCGATTCCCAAATGGCTTGCTGTGTGCTGCGTTGGGATGGGGCGTTGACACTTTGGCTACGGTAGCTGCAGCTGGCACGGCTCTTAGGGCCTAAAATGTTGGCAGCAGTTGCCTGGGAATAGCCATAGATAAGCCACCGAGCCACCGAGGGGGACCTGGCGGACTTGGGCCAAACAATGGCACAACGCGGCTGTCTGGCAGCACGCCTCTCGACCAGGGGCTAACCGGGCACCCAGTTGGACTGTGCAGAAGACGGAGGCACCGTCGTTGCCTCTGTGCCAATTCACAGCGTTCCGGAGCCCCACAGCAGGTCAGCGTCGGCGTCCTAGTCCCACACATAAACGCACACACACACACACACACACACACACACACACACACACCCACACAAATACAATTATTCTCTGAAGTTGTTTCTCTCCCGCTCTCTCACACTCTCTTCTGCAGCGGCGTCTCGCTTTGTCGCTTGGCTCTCTGTCTGGCCCACGTCCTCGCCTGCTGCCGTCGCGTCGTCATCGTCATCGTTGGTGGATGGTTGCTGACAGTTCGGCTCTCGGCGGACGGGCACAGGTTTCCCTTTGGCCTGTGCGCTGCTCTGTGCCCGGCCTGAAAAACCACCACTCCCAGCGATAGGTTAGATTTCCATTCGTTCATGCCTCACGCTTAGTCGCAGTCATGTCTTATTGTTGCAATGCACCCTCTCCGGACCCCGGCCGTGCTCTGCGCCGACAACCGCCCGCTGTGCTCCTGCGGCGCACGCTCGTTTCGTTTCCACCGCGACTTCAACTCTCGTTGGTCGTTGCGGCTTCAATTGCGCTGCCTTCGCTGCTGTTGGCGTCGCAGCTCGCAGCTCGAAGCTGCGCAGTTGCCTTTCGGTTGCAGCAGCATCGCAGCAGACTCGGATTCAGTTGGGGTTTAACAGCCACTCGGGACGGTAGCGCGCGCCGCTTAAACTTGTTGCGAGACCAATTTTCCGAAAATCCCAAATTCTCCGCGGTGCATTGGCACTTACACACACACACACACACAGAGGTACACCCGCACGCAATACCAACACCAATACCTACACAACCTTCACATAATACCAATACTGGGTTAAAATCAAAACGGGCCCAAAACCCCCAATTACAATTGCCTTCAGTGTCGATTTGTGCGCCGGTATCAGATTAAGAGCTCAGCGTCCGCACTTCTAACTGGATCTGTATCTGTATCTGCAACTATATTCGTATTTGTATTTGTAACCGTGGCTGTGGCCGTTTCCGTGTCCGTGAACCGTATCCGTGTCGCGCTTTATTGATTGCCGTGCCTCTCTAGAGAGAGAGACAGAGATCGAGTGACCCAGAGAAACAGAAACAGAATCTGTGCTTAGTGTCAAATCGTGGCAATAATTGCAACAGCAGCGCCGGCAACAACAACATTCACCACGGCTGCCACAATTGCAACAACGCCCGCCGCGAGCAACTACAGTAAAGTGAGCGACTACCCGTACGCTGATCTCCACCAGCACCATCACTTCGCTAGCACAGCGCCCCTGACCAGCGCCGAGAGCTTCAAGCTGCGCTCCGAGGAGCCGGTGCCGGGCTTTAGCTCGGCCTCCCCGTGGCCCACGCTGGAGCTAGGCATGGAGTGGGGACGCAAGCTCTATCCGAGTGCGGGCCCCAGATCCGCGGGCAGCTTGATGTTCAGCCTGCCACCCACGGCGGCGGACATGAATCAGCCGCGAGGACCGATGACATCCCTCAAGGAGGAGCCCCTCGGCGGGCGGTGGGCCATGCAGCCAGTCGTCGATCAGACCAAGTAAGTTCAGTGCACAAGGGCAAGACATGAATATAATACTTATTAAGCTAAACAATTTAAAAATATGCCTAGCTAAAACTAATTGAGGATTTTTGTATGTGCAAACAAAGCTGATTAGTAGCTAGGCAAACACTGTGCCCGAGATTCTATTCTCTCCACGAATAGGAACAATTACTCAATTGTAATAATATCAGTATGATATTTGGAAAGCTTAACAATGTTATTAATGGAAATGTGTTCCCAATTCCAGTCTGTACAATTTCACCTGTGCCCGGAAGCATTTGAATTCCTGTAAAATATGTATATTAGCTCCTAATTTTTTTCCACGTAATGCTCCCTGAAATGATTTAAAAGTAACAATCCCTATATCCATATGCAATTACCAAGCTCTGCAAATCTTCTAACAATTGTGTGCCTAGCAATAAATCGTCAACATTTTGGAATGCCCTCAGCAACATGTCGCATGTTGCGGCAACAAAAAGTTTGGACAAACAAAAAGTCTCCAAAAAAGCGTTTGTTTACCTTTGCTAAAGCCGGCATGACCGATACGAATGCCCCGGGGGGAGCAATTCCCAATACCGTACTCAGTTAGTCAGTCAAACAAGGGGCTTTTTATGAGCGGACATCCGAGTGCCCCCGCTGCCCACGCAACCGGCCACAGACTTAACCAAATTCCACTCAAAGTTCCACTCGAAAGCAAAACCGGCTCGACTAGACGTCTTCTTTTGAAGGGGGGCCGCACGCACTTTCCGGGGGTTGACTTCTGATGCCGGGATGCTCCGACGGGACGCACGGAGTGCGTGAGCTGCTTTGCCTTTGAGCTGGCGTGCTTTTTGGTAGCCCGTGCGCTCAAAGGGATGTTTTTGTTGGCGCTTCACTTTCGCTTTTACTTTCGCCTTGGCGTTCATTTCAATTGAATTAGAAGCAGAGCGCCCCCGGCTGCGGGGTTGCGGCAATTCTTTGCTTTCAACTTCTCGCGAAAGCTTCTCCTCTTTGCGGCGCGTTTGTTTAGTTGCGTCTGAGATGTTTTTTGCGTGAGATGTTCGCGCCCAGAAGAAGTGCGCGCGTGGCCGAAACCGAAACCGAAAGTGCGAATGTGAATGCGAGTGCGAAGATGACAGCGGGCTTTCATTCCGTGCATTCAGCGACGGCAAATCAACAGCAGCAGCAACAACACGCACAACACACACACTCCCACACACACCTGAGCACTAACGGTCACAATCACACCTGCAGTGCCAGCAGCAATAGCAGCAGCAGTTGCAGTAGCAGTCACTGCAGTAGACAAGGCCAGCATCAGCTGCATTTGCAGCACGAAGACAATCTAAATCAGGATCATAATCACAATCAGACACTGAACAATACTAACAATAAGATAATGCGCTGTGATCTCAGGTAAATCCGAGAGATATGAGTATACTATAAAATATAAATATCGCAGCTCTTAAAAAGAAATAGTTTATTGTTCAATTGGAATATTTTTATTGTGCAAAAAAAATAAAATATTTAGAAAGAAAAACTTATTTTAATCATTTCGTTTAGAATTTATTTCGTACATGTTGTAGTTTGAAAATAAGAAGAAAATGTACTTTATACTTTTTCATATTTTTGTAACTCAAAAATATTTTAATTTTTATCACTATTTTTTGTAAACTCATTTAAGTCGACTTGCGAGTTAAAAGCTCTTAAAATCTCACGAGTTTTACATTACAATTAAGGGAGAACACAATTTGATATATTCTGGGAAATGAAAATAGTTATGCGAAATGGAATCAAATAATGTTTTTGCTGGCTAGTGTAACTTACAGTTGAACTCGAGTTTAGCTGCTTTCGTTATTAAACGTGATTAAAGTTAAGAAAGTTTTTAACAATGCATCGCAAAACTTTGGCCAGGGAATAAATTGCACAATTATCGGGCAAGTCAATGCGAGCTACACTTTGGCCATTTATTTATTTATCTATTGTCACATATTGTGTACTAAGTACTTGTTCAGACAGGCAACAAAAAGCTGGGCAGCAACAAATTCGATCATAAATCAGAAATATTTGAAATTTATTTCAACAAAGATTGCTGTGAACTGCAATCGAGGCGGCAGCCTCTGGAAACAATGCAACAATGGCTATAAAATGTGTTCCACGACCATTTTCGGAAATAAAGTGTCCTTTTTAAAGGACATTCGATGTGAATTTAGTGCAGTTCAAGCAACAACAACAACAACAACAAAAAACAAAGGAGCATGTGGAAATTCACGTGCGCGGAATAGGCAAAACGTGACCACGAATCGCCCTTCCTCCCCCAATGCTCACTCGCGTTTCCCCTGCCCCGCACCTGCCCGGCCTGGTCACCTGGGCATCGATTTCCGACAATTAAATGTTGGCATAATAAAATCAACAGCAAAGCGGCCACAAAACGTTTTTCGCAAATTGGCGGCAAGTGCAAACAAGCCATAGAACGAAAGAGTCCACAATGCGACCAAGTCGGAAAAGTCAACAATCGAGTGCTTAGCTCCCAGACCCAATCTCCAGCCCGCATTCGGAGTGGGCGTGGAGAGGGAGGAACAGGACGTTGTACAGTCGCAGTTCCTTTTTTTTTTTTTTTTTATTTGCCAGCTCTCAGTCGTTGGGTTATTTTGCTGTTCACTTTTGGAACCGTTTGGCGCCATAACAATAACCTTTCGCCCAGAATGTAACATGTCTGGCATTTATGTGTCGTATTTCCCCAGACCGAACATCATGCGGAACTTTGTGTGGGCCGCCAGTTGCCAACCCAGCCCATTGATGATTCGCCTCTGTGCATTGGCCCTGTTCCTGTTTTGCTGGCCTATTCCTGTTGCAGTGGCCGATTTGAACACTCGGCCATCCAGCCACAAATTGTCTAATTTCATTTGTTTTCGCAAATTGCTAAATTGAAATTGCATGTAAGTCCAATGAGAGTTCCCAATTGCATAAAGTCGAAAACTGCAGGCAATAGAGATAAATTAAAAGTGAATCGTAGAAAGATCTCGGGATTCTTTGAACTCTTTAAATTGAGTCCAGTTCTGAAAATTCTGATCACAGTTCTCCTCACGATCGTTCCAGAAGAAAGCTCTTTCTAGCCCACCAATCAGTGTCAGTCGGACAAGCGCTTGTATTCTCAAATGTATTTGAACAAAATAAATAAAAGTCTTACATTCAAAAGGCATTATAACCCATATATATCATACTCAATCTAATCAATATGTGTCGCAGTCGAAATAATTTCAGGGAATACCTCTGGGATTGAATCCATGCTGTTCAAACAAAAAGTATAATTATTTGCTGAAAATCAAAACAGTAAAAAAAAAAAATATAGAAAAGTACAACAAATAGTTGAAACAAAGTAACATTTTCTGATTACACAACTAAAACTGAGTCGCAGTCCGCGTATTATTCGGGCTTTTTTTTTTTGGGTGTGGAGTGGATAATTTTCAAACGATTTATCATTGCGACTATCATTAGCTGCAGCCCCAGTTTGAGCAAGTCCACTGGCATTATTCTTTGGCAAATGTGTATATAATTGCAGGCGGAAAGAGGCGGGCGGTGGGGCTGAGGGGCGGAGGAGCACGCGCGATACTTCTTGACATTTGCTGAATAAATAATAGAAATCTGATAAAATCAGCATTTTCTAAATTAAATTGTTCGTTATGCATATGAAACGAAAGCGCTGCAGGACCTAACTACTCGGCCGTGTCCGAGGGTCGCAGCTCCTGCGCCAGCCAGGTAGTTAGCATTGTCCGGTAATTGCGCTGACAGCCCCAGACACAGACACAGACAGAGACACGAGTCTGCCATAAGGTGAGCAGCAGGAGTCGCAGGAGTCGCAGGAGTTGCACTGTTGACATTTGGCATATGGAGTGGACAAGCCTTTGGCCCATGTCCACGGCCATGTTAAGGTCCTGTCCTGTCCCGTCCCGTCCTGTTCTGTCCTTATAATTACAGTGTTTGCTTGGCCCACATAACATAAATATTTGTTGTTGTTTGCGGTCTGACGAGTCACTCTTTGCTGTCCCGGTCTCTGGCCAAGTCCCCGCCCCCCTGAAGCTGTTGTGTGTTAATTCCTTTATTCATCAGGATTATTGTGTCACGTTGAAGTTGCTTATGCGCTTTTAATGATAGCTGTCACTGGCCACTGGCCACCGGCTGCTGGTTAAATGTCACCGTCAAGTAATTGAGTTCTTCCAAACAATGAGGCATATTAGTTGGGACAGAGCACAGCTAATTGCCTGCGCAGGGCCCTCCGTTTACTGGGCTAATAGCATAATTAGATGGCGCGTTTGTTTAGGCCCGTTTTAAAGAGACATTTTTCGCCTTCTAATTGCAGTCTTGGCATTGGCCGCGCCCACTTTGAAAAGCAGCCGCCCAGCAATTTGCGCAAATCGAATTTCTTTCACTTTGTGATTGCGCTCTACGATCGCGCCGGGCAGCCCATCGAGATCGAGCGCACCGCCTTCATTGGCTTCATCGAGAAGGACTCGGAATCGGATTCGACAAAGACCAACAACGGCATCCAGTATCGCCTGCAGCTGCTCTACGCGAATGGTAAGAGCGTCAAAATCCAGGATTGTTGGGCCAACTCTTAAATGAATATTTTTATTGCAGGCGCACGACAGGAGCAGGACATTTTTGTGAGACTCATCGATTCAGTAACCAAAGCGGTAAGTTCTTAAAAAAATCCTCTTCACAACTGGACATTCAAATTTTACCCATATAAATATTATGTTAAACAAAACGTGATAAGTGTAAGGTTCTCCAAAACAAAGAACTTAGATGCGATTGCTTCTGCGCCAATAAATTCATAATTGGGACAGAATTTCAAACTCATTTTATGGTAAAGTTTGATTTTTCAAACATTTGTCGGACTTGGCAAATCGTTGAGAATGATTTGAACTTTGACCGCAACAGAAATAGTTGAAAAGCTTGATATTCCCTTACAGATGTTCAACCTAATTTGATTGCTTAGCTAAGTTTAATAGAGATTAATTTCAATAGACTTAAAGTTCATTTTCTTCATCCCCATTCAGTCCGAAAACGAGCTGCTGCTGCTGCTCATTTTTTAGTCGAGTGTTTTTTTTTTTTGTTTTTTTATTTGTGCCACGCAATCGAAAACTAATTCCTTCCACTTGGTTGCCGATGCTTCTGTTGCCCGTGCACTCGCTTTGGGTTTTGCTGATTCGAGCATAAGTTGCATTTGAAATTGATTGTCACGGCTAATTAAGTGTGTCCTCTGTGCAAGTTCTCGGCGCGCACTGCCAATAAATTGAGTCGTCAAACGGTACTGGCCTGGAGCTGGAGCTGCCTTTTGGCCAGCCAAACGAGCAATTCATTCAAACGACGCGTCGCCGTCAGGTCGCGCCTCCGAAAGGGGTGTGACTGAGACTGAGCTCGCGTCCAGGGCCAGGGGCCGGGGGCGTCCAATCCAATCGAACATGGCTAATGCGCTTTGTTGTGGGTGCCCGTTGGATGTGCGTATTCCTTGCTGCAGTGCACCATATGTCAGCTTTGTGTGCGCCTAATGCGTGTGCGTTGCCTGCCGCCTGCTGCCTCTAGTCCCCTTTTTTCAAGGGCAATTAATTTCTCGAGTGACAAATTTTTATAGACGTTTGTCGTTTGTTCGGCTCTCGTTTGCTTTCGTTTCGTGCTTTCTTGGCATTCCATTATTTTGTCGCCCACTGTGGGCGTTGCTTTCACCCGATCGCAATAAATCCATCCACAAATTATCGATACCTCCCCCGAACCGGAGCCGGTCACCAGTGTCAGGAATCCATTATGTGTGCACATTCGGTGCGAATGAAATTTAATCGCAAAATATTTAGCGATAGCATAAGCCTAACAAGCTTCTCAGCAATTTCATTAAGGTCAACAATTTGTATTTGATTACCAAATAATATTGTGAATATCGAACGATTCGGGTGGCATTTAGTTTCTTTGCTTATTTTGAGCATGTTTCATAAGAATTTCAAGGCAATAAAAAATTATCGCATAACTAATAATAGGAATCAGAAAATTACCCAACACATAATCATGAGAAACCCATTTAATGTTAACATTTTTGCATATTTTCCAACGATAAAAACCTAAGCTCGACGAAGATGAAATACTCTATACAATACAATTTATATGATAACAATACGCGATAAAGGTATAAAAGTGGATTAATTAGTTTTTAATTAATCAGAAGTGTCCGACCAGAAAATACCCTGGAACTAGCTCCAAGAAGACCATAAAAACATTCTAGTTTTCTTCTTTAAATGCGCTCTTAATAACTTCGGAGCTTATAGTCCGATAACTTTCCACTTATTAAAGGTGTTAGCAAGCTAATGGAAAATGGAGGAAGTTATCAGAACAGTAAAATATGTCTGACTTATATATACGAGAACCTAAATACCAATTTAAGCCATTATAATCTTCGAGGTATGCTTAAGAGACTAATTCTAAAATGCTCAAGATAAAAGACTAGAACTAAAAGGAAAAAGGTTCTTACAAAAAATATCTAAATGCATTTACGACTGTTTTTTAAATGGACTTGAAAACTTTGCCAAGTATTTGTCGTATGTTAGCTACCCCGAGTCCGAGCAACATTTAACTGACTGTCTGTCAGTTGTCAGACGGGTTTAAAATGAGTTGCAATTGCCAGAGTCAACAGGAATGAGGGCTAACAAAAAGAACAATCATTTGATCGGATTAGTTGGATTTTAGCATTCAACTGAGGCTGACGGAGTTGCTCTCCATAGGTTGTATACTATAAATAGAGCTCGAGTTGGTCAGATGTCATCCCCTTTGTGCTCATTTTTTTTTGCATACACGTGGCAGGCGGTGGGCACAGTGTTTTATCTGAAGCACAAACTGTGCGTAACAGGTAAATAAGGAGGCAGACGTGAGCCGGGGATAACCTTGCTTATCAGGGGCGGCTGGCGGGAAAGTGAAATTCGAAACTGTAGCAGCAATGCGATTAAACAACAGCCAAGTGTGCTGTGAGACATTGTCTTAGGCATTGATGTGAAAGCAATGAAAAAGCAGGACAATTGTCACGTGCCGCAGCCGAGAGGGTAGCCGAAAAACCCTTGCCTCTAGCCCGCGATTTTTATCGGCATGCCCTCAGTTCGCTGGCTGTTTCGTCCTTGTCAGAAGGCTGGCAATGTTGCAAATCATCGTCATAATCATAATTACATTCGATCAGATAACTGGCAATACAACGCGACCAAACGCCAGGCCCGTACCGCCACGAAGGCGGCGCAATTGCAATTTGAGCTAACGACCAGCGGCAGCAGGAGCATGGGGAGAGGGAGGACCAGGACGCCCTGGATGCGTACGACTCAATTGGTGCGGCAGTCGCTTCATTTGCGCTCATATTTCACAGCGTGTTCGCGTTCACATCCCGGCCCGTTCCTGATCCTGGTCCTGGTCCTGGCTGTGGGCCCGGCATAAACATAAAACAATAGCGAGTGCCAACTGCGACAACTGCCCAAAATCCTTTGGTTTGGCAGGCCCGCTGCCAAAATCGCGCTTATCGCGATTTACACGCATTATGCGGCCGGCCAAAAAAGCGCATCGAAATTCTAAACCCAAAAACAGTAAAGGGAGATTCCCGATGGCCGATATGCGGCGATTAATGCACCCAGATAACCGTGTGCTGTGGACACTGTGCAGCAGAAACAGCCCAAAATTGTGCAGGCTATTCGCAGCGCGAGCTAATGAGTCGCTTAAAAAAGCCGTTGCTGCAGCTGAGCTGCCCAATTGCAGCACCGGATAAATATTAGAGATGCGCCACACTCAAATGCCAGCTACTGTGACAAGTGACTGCGATTTGCCTCTATAAGCTCTACTCATAAATGCAGTCACTTAACAACACTTGTCTCACTGCGACTGCAGCCAAAATTGCAATAGTGCTCATCACTAATGAATATGCACGCATACAACACATAGATCATACGCCATTACGAGGGCAGACATGCTATATCTCGCTCTTTTCAATGCGCACGCATCAGCATGCGTTTCTCTCTGTCGCGCTCTCTCTCTCTCTCTCTCTCTCTCGCATGCGAAGCTCCTTTGTGCGTGTTAATTAAGCGATAATATTAATTTGTATGTCAACACTTAAAAATAAAAGCGTGAAAATTTTCGATTAATAACACATTTCACATTTCATTTTTGCCATTTTATCCAGTGAACAATTGCTTTTGTTTTTATTGCTGTTGGCAATTCAGTAAATTTAACAGATTGCACAGAAACTCTCCAAACAGTCGCCATTTGCGTTGCTGATTTGCTTGCACATATGCATGCGTGTGTGTGAGTGTCTGCATGCATACATGTGTATGCATACATGCACTTGTCTCTGCTGGTGGTGTTCGTGTGTGTGTGGCAATACGATTAAAAATGCTTTCACGGCAAGTGCATTTCCATTTCTGCGGTTGGCGCCGCACCGTGGGGCAACAAAGCAAAAAACTGCCCTTTATATCGCGTTCATTATGCAAATGTTGTCGCCTGCAGCACACACTTACATGCATGTGTAGCTACATGCGCATGTGTATATTCTTGTCTACCTCAACTATTACGCTGTGTATCTTTGTATCTTTGCCCCATTCTCAATCCCTTTAAAATTATAGAAATATTACTTTTATATTATTTTAAACAAAATAGGTTGAAAAATGTTTAAATATAGTCCTGCCAAGCTCAGAGAGAACTCATGAAGATAGCTCCTCACGCGAGTCCTGATGTGCCTTTCGGGTCTCCGGGTTCTGGGTCCTGCGCTCTGAAATTTATGCGTTACCCTGGACCGGGGCTGCGCTGATAAATGGCGCTTTAATAAATTAAGAGTAACCCTCAATTCGTTTTTTTTTTGTTTTTTTTATAAACAAAGGTTTTTTATTTTGTTTTTACGCTGGTTTTTACTGTACTCGTATGTTGCTGCCTGCGATAATTTATCTTGTTTGGCGAGATTTTTATTTCCACGTTAAATATGCAGCATGCAAGCGCGTAAATAATGCAAAAGCCGCTGCGCTTTTTATTTAAAAAGCGATAATAACAATTTGCAAAAAAAAAAAAAAAACAAAACAAAGCATTTAAGGGCGCAATGTTGAACAATTTTATGCGCAGCGTTTAAATTTTAACAGCCACGTCAATCGACAACTCTTCAGCCGCCAATTCCACATCCAGCTCCAGCTCCAGCTCCGGCTTCAGCTTTCATTACCATCTCCTGGCCATGTCCGCCCGTCCATGTTGGGCCCATCACATCAACACTCGGTTTTTTTTGTTGCTGTCTGTTGATTTTTTGTCGCTTGCCGTATGTTTTTTTTTCTGATATCCTGCCGTTCCTGCTGCTCCTGCTCTGGACGGATGCCAGCCAGGTCTGTGTGATAAATCGTAGTTTAAACGCTTTTACTCCAGTTTTAGTGCTGGCTGCCGTTTAGTTTTTTATTAGATGCGCCATTTAGGGGCACTTTGCCAGTCAGATTTGCTCCAGATTTCCAGTTGCACTAATTGTTTCATCTCTGGCCGCCACTATGATTGATGGCCTGATCCTGTCCAAATCCCAAGCCCAGCATTGTTGGTGGCCAAACATTTCGGAATTTCTCAATGGAATTTTCTACTAGCGCGACATGCGGGTGTTACATATATAAAAGGCAGACATGGCCCTTTTGGGGTTTTCCACAAAAACAAATTAATCTGGCATAGTTTGATTGAACTACTCTGAGATAATTCAGATAATAGTTAAATAATATTTTCAGATAATTTGCACTATTTGGGATTACAAATTTCTTATATATTAAGGGTGTGCGATAAATATTTATACTGCCTGACAAACTAACTTTTAACTTCAAAAATATTCCATTTTAGTAATAGTTTACAGGGTACTTTACAGGGTTTTCACTGTACTTTTGTACACTTGTTCCTTTAGTCAATATCCTATAACATAATTAAAAATAATAGAAAAACACGTATAAAAAATGTATTGACCAAACATAGAAAGTCCATTAGAAGGCAAACATGTGCCCAAAATCCTTGACGAAGGATGTTGTCCCGAGCTGAATCTAGGTACGTGTCCGGACACGAGCTTGGGCTATAATTAGCTGCACTTGTCCCACAAAAAGCAGACTCACACTCAATGCGATCCCAACTGTTGGCTGGTAACTAGTTGACATTGAGCCAAGGCATTGACTGTATCCTTTGCGGATAGTTGTTGTTATCCCTGGACTTAGGGAGCTTCAGTTGGGCGGAAGGGCAAGGCTGTTAATGTTTTTTCGACGTTGTTTTCTTGTTCTGTACAAGGGGAAGGGCAGGGCAGGGAAGTTATTAACCCAACAAACGGGATAATAAGGGATGATCATAATTTTACATGTGGCATTGATGCTGCTGCCGCGTTACCTATGCTCAGCAGGGGGGCAGCGGGAAAACCCAGGACTGCCAGGACTGGTTGCAGTGAAATTAATTTCTGATTATCTGTTTGGCTTGCCCTGGCTTCCGGCTGGGCTGGATGCGACTGAGGCGGGAGACAAGCAGAAACAGAAACAATGCACATATGCTGATGACGTCAGAGGCACTCGTCCTTGACGCTGTGGCAAGTGGCAGCATTCGCTGGTGGATGAAATGATTGCCGGTTCCTCTCCGTGCAAGTTATCCTAGGTAGTTATTGTTATTACTTTTGCGTGTACACGGCATGGCAAGGCAAGGCACGGCAAGGCACGGCAAGGCACGGGTACATGCATTTTTACAGCTCTCGTCCTGCAAGGACGCTGATAGTGATGAATGAGTCCACAGTCCGTTGGCCACCCCCCGCTCGCTTCTGGGCTGTTGCTGTCGCATATGCCGTGTTTTTGCCAACTAATTCATTGGATGAGTGTTGGATTACAGGGAGGCAGAGACGAGCCGGCGACCCGCTTTAATCATTTTTAAATTAGAGAACTATGCGCCTTTTTTTCCTGCGCCCCTTGCAGTGGTTGTTCGCCTCGTTTGTTTATCTATTTGTTATTGTTCCACCACACACTCGAGAGTTTCTCCCTTTCGCATCTTCATCTCTTGAAATTGCAGCAGATTGTCTGACGAGAGTTGCACTTGCGGTTAACATTTCCCTGCCACTTGGAGTGCACAATCAAGTGCGTGTGCCTCGCACATGCCACGATTTTCTGTAGTCACTGACACTAAAATGTTTTTGCCCCCCCTCCAATCCCTCTCTTCGTAAACACCCCCCCCCCTCTCCCCTCTGGCAAACAGCGAGTACGAAGTTTTCTTTTTTACCGCCCAAACAAATACAAATACCAAGTGCGCCCCCTCAGTTATTATTAGCCGAATTTTGGCCGCCTGCCGCGGCGTTTAGCTCCCGCTTCGAGTGTGTAAATATTTGCATGGTGTGTGTGTCCCATATGTCACGACCTTCTGACCAGCTCAGCTCACAATTCTCGAGTAGTTGCACCGTAATTAGCATTTATGTCTGTTTATATTTGCCTAATGGTTGGGGATGATAACAGGTTCCCATTGAGCTATAGGGCTGATGTGCTCTATATATGCGATAATCGCCAGAGGTGAGTACACAGTCCGACTAATCAATGGAATGGATCGAGAATGTTTCACCTGGCTACCCTTAAATATCCTTCAATATCGTATATAGACAGACATAGGGTAAAATTTTCCACTTCCATAACGCGGTCAAATATTGTCCGATTTTCACAAGGTTTGGCTCTTTGTTCATGGTTTGACCTCTAGATCAAGGTGGCATCTAACTCTGCGTACATTATTTGTTTAATTTTCAAATCGAGTCGCTTATTAAAAGAGGTAACTTTTTGAGACTACGATCTATGATATAGTATATTATAAATAATAGTTACTTAGGTCCATTAAGTTGTCTTAGTTGTCTTTTGAGTCTTTGCGAAGTATCTATTTTGATTAAGCTTAGACTCTTGCTCTCTGAAAAAAAGCTTTGTATAAATTGTGAGTTGGCTACCGCGCAAACGGCCTAAGCCTAGTTGAGCTGTGGTGTATATTTGCCTTTGATCCTTTTAGCCTAAGCACACTCCTAAGTACGTAAAATATGGCCAGAGCTGGGGCCAGCTAGTAAACAATTATTTACAATTTGTGTATGCTTTCTTCATTGCAGGCCATCATCTACGAGGGCCAGGACAAGAATCCCGAGATGTGCCGTGTCCTGTTGACGCACGAGGTGATGTGCAGGTGAGTTCGTTTTGCCGCGTTGGATTCCTTTAATAATCTGCAAATGATTTGGATGCATTGAGTTCGACTTTGAGTAATCCACACCTTTGATTCCCTTGTCTCGAGGGTGTCCAGCTGCCGCTTTGGCTCCCCAGAGCTTTGTCCAAGTATTTATATTTGGCTTGTGAGCTTTGCTCTTCCTTTCCCCTTCCCCTCGCACCTTGGCAGCTACGCTCATTTGTTTTAAGCGTTTTCCGCGTGATTTTTCCACTACGCAGCTTTTGTTTTCTTTCTGTTTTTTTCTTTTATTTTTTTATATTTTTAGGTTGCTACTCTTGGAGCTTTTTTGTTGCCTGCTATAATAATGTTGATTTTTTAGTTTGCCTCTCAACCCTCCGCCGTGTCGCGCCCTTCTATGCCATTCTATTCTGGCCCGTCTGTCCGTCCGCCGTGTTCTGTCCTGTCCTGTCCTGTCAGTCGGCCGATGCGTCCTTCGTTTTATTTTTACGCTCAAACGCACGAGAGCTGAAACGTATAAATGGCAGCCACTCGCAAGCCCCCAAGGCCCCCTCCCCTCCACGCATATCTTTTCTCTCGGGTTTTTTTTTTCCACTCTTCCCATCGACATCTAGCATCATCATATCTCTGGGCAGTTCACCCTTCTAGCGCCCAACGGAGGCTGACAGTTGAAGGTTGCCTCAAAATAACACAAATGAAAAACCACCAAAACGTGACCGACTACGGCATACCCTTGAATTTAATATGACAATTTAGGTGGAAGTACAAAAATATGCCGTGAACTTTCCCATTCAATTGAACTGAAGCGTTCTTCTCTGTCAGGCATTCCAAAAACCTTTGAGCTAGGCAAAGATAAGTTGAAGATAAAGATAAGTTGGATAAGTTACGGTAGATTTCGATTTTTAGCTTCCGGAGACGTGCAGCATACCCAAAGTACCCCAACAACAGGCATACACAATACGGCACAGCAAAAACACAAGCAAAGAACAACAAAAAAATTACACAGATTCGTCCCCTTTAGCCGGCCACGCCCTCCGCCGCCCCCCTGCCGTGGCTTTCGGTACAGCTTCAGGGTGCGCTGGCCGGCCATCTTTTATTATTTCGGATTGGCACCCAGTTTTTATGTTTGCGTAGCATTATCAAAACAAGGGGACAACGCACAGGGGTTGACTCTCCCCCGGCTTCAGCTCCAGCCTTGGCTTGGCCAAGAAAGCAGCAAAAATCAACAGCTTCGCGTAACACAAAGCAAATACAAACACAATGGCGCCGGCGTCGCAGTCGACTTCGCTGCCGTGGCGAGCAGCGGCAATGGCTTCTTCTTTATCGTTTGGCATTTCGCCCATTTTAGTCATCCATGTTTATGTTCTGCCCAGCACGATGCCAAAGCTCAAGCTTTAGCTGAAGCCGCCCAGTTAGTGTGCCACCCCCAAACGACCCAGTCCTCTACCCCTTCCCCCTTCGGCGGCCCACATCTCATCGCTGCCCAGAGGCTGTGCGGCCAAAAATTACGCAGCCATTGAACTTAATCCGAGTGCGTATATTTTTTTTTTTTTTTTTTTTTTTGCTAAAAGAATCGGAAAATGCATAGCAAAAAATGTAGAAAACATTTTGCCTAACTTCAAATTATTTCTCTGTATCAAAGAATTAATTATGATTCGTGAGTAAATATTAAATGTAAACTTTTTTTAAGCGTGTGTATTCTTAATTTGTCCCGAAATGTTTTTTACCCAAAAAGATAGTCCCACAAAGCTTTAACTAATACAATTATGTCCCATTGTTCATTTGTTTTTCGACCCGATCGAACCAATATATCAAATAGTTGTCATAGGAACGATCAAGTTAAAATATCTAGACCAAATTGGCATTTTTATGTTTCACAATTGAGCAGAACCTTGTCAAAATCTGCCCATGAATGAACATTCTAAAAATTACGTATGTTTTCTTGTCAATTCCTTTTTTTTTTCTCACTGTGTATATATATTATATAAGGATATCTTTTTCTTTAAGTGCTTCTTGTTATTATTTTTTAGGTATTTTAAAAGTATAATTAAAAATGTTGGTTTATTCTCTTTCTGCTTCAATTTAAGTTAAGTTAAGCTAAACAAATAATTGGGCGAGTAATTGCTGCAATGTTTCCATGTAGCTTTACATTGTATTAAACTCTTCTTTAAGACTTTTAACCAATCGATTTCATTCTATTTTACCTGCAGCCGCTGCTGTGATAAGAAGAGCTGTGGTAACCGCAACGAGACGCCATCGGACCCCGTCATTATTGATCGGTAAGTAGATGTGTAATGTCCTAGCAGAGACACCGACCCCGACTCCAGCTCCAGCTCCAGCTCCGAGCTGCTGCGCCATACAAAAGATGACATTTTAAGCTGCTTTTCATCATCGGCGCTGAGCGCTTTTTATTTTGCCTGCCTGTTTGCGGCTTGTATGCGTATCGTTGATTTATTGGCATTATTATCAACTGCAATATAAAACATGATGCGGCAGCTCGCCCCAAGATGGGGCGGGGCAGTTGTCGCATGCGGCGGGGGCAACTGGCGAGACAGCAAGCGGAGCTCGGTGAGCTCCGGAAGCTCCAAGTCTGAGCTGGCCAAAATGAAAGTTCATCAACATGCCAAAGCAAATTCTATTTTCATAAATTGTGAATTGTGAATTGTAAATTGTAAATTGAGACGAGTGCAGCACTCGCAATGGCAATCCGACACCCCCCGTCTGCCCACTGCCGCATCCCTTCTCTGTCTCCCGGACCCGCCCCTCGTGCGCCTGTCACGTGTCAGGCGAATTATGTTAATTGTATGCACATCCTTGCGGCTGCCATTCAGCCCGTCGATCCCAATGCCGCAGCCACTTCCCAGTCGAGGTCGAGCCGGAGCCTGAGGCCGCCAGCCGGGAGTGCGTCGCCTCTAATTGGCTTCGGAAATATTATTAGAGAAATACAAATTGTTTGCACAAAAATATAAGTAGCCACAGTAGGTGGGCAGGCGGGCGGGCGCTGGTCGGAAATCGAGGCTGAGAATATTAATTTCATACAAATAATATGCTGCATGTGCGAGTAGAAAGGGAATTCTTGAAAAAACTATAATATTTGAAAGGGGCACATTAAAAAGAAGGGCTTATTGAATAGCTAAGTTAACAGCTTCCAAGTTCAAATTATAATATATGCCTTTTAATGCGTATTTAATAACTTAAAATTACCCATAAGGATATAATTATATTATGTCCCAAAGGGCATATCGAACCTCCCAAGATGAACATACTCCTGTTCATATTCTGTTCGTTTGTTATTTCGGCTCAATCTGATTAAATATGGGAACCAGAGAATTGAAATTTCAAACGTAGCTTCTGAAAAGTACATCATGAGAATTATATGACTTTTCGGATACTTCTCCCCCTTACATTTTCATAATAAACACCAAAGAAAAAGCACAGCCGGATGTGTCTAGAGAAGGAAAGCAGAATGTTGGCAAAAACAGTCCGGCGCGCGATTCATAGTATCTCCTTGTCGGGCTCGGGATCTGGACATGCTTCTTCGCCTTTTTTTTTTTTTTGCATAAGTCAGCTACTCCTGAATGATTCGATGGCCTTGTTGGTTGGGGCTCCTTGCGTGCGACAGACTTGTTGAAGAATTTGAGCTGGTCAATTGAATCGCACCTTATGCAGATAACAATCCCCAAACGACCGATGGACTCCAACAACATCATTATCATTGTGGCTAACATTGCCAGCTGCGGTGGTCCCTTCAACTGGGGCAACGGGTGTTCAAAACTATTTGCCTATCTGTAAAAGTGCAGCTGCCAAATGGCATCTATATAGATTGTCCACCATGGTGGGATTCCGCGAAAACTGGCCTCCAGCCAGCAGCAACAACGAGAGACTTAATGATTCTATTACAAAAGCATGGAGGGACTTAGACCAAGTCGGAGTTGGAGATGGAGACTCATTTATGCGCTGGCTGGTTGCTGGCAATCAGGCCATAATTGGTGTGATAATTAAATTTAATTGATTGCCTGTTCATGTTGTTGCTGTTGCCTGTAAAAAGAGACCCTGTTTGCAAATTAGGAAATCTATGGAAGCAACAGACTGGGCCTGGGCCAAGCTATGGTTCGGCAAGATCAGAGCCCCCAGCATTTATGATCTTGTTAAAATTGCTGAGCGTGTTTTCGTACGCGTTACGTGCTCCACAATGGAGCGAAATCCGTTGCAAGAACAGTTATTGGCTGCTGTCCATCCAGCCGGACAGGTAACTGGAGTGCGGATCCACGTGCGCAGGCGCGATATTTACGATTATTAATTCATTTTTCGCCTGTTTATTTGCGCAATGCGATCGCCTTGTTAGCCGCAGCTGGCATTGACCAAATTGGTTAATCCCGTCGCATTCCCAGCTTTCAGCCGTTGGCATTTCTGCCTCGGCACATGTCGCATTTGTCAGCCGGCCTGTAAATCTTGTCGAGAGTGAAAGAGAGTAGGAGACAGAGTCACAACCAGAACCAGAACCAGAGCCATTGCCAGATCAAACTGAAGAGGCGCATATCAATCACCGCTGCACACACTCCAATCAGAGCCGCGGCGGCGGCATGGATCAGTCGGAGACAGCAACTGCTCCTGCTCATTGATATGCCAGTAGATCATGCCGCCAAGTCTCTGGCCAGCTCGTTCTGCCTGGATAATCTATGTGTTCGCAACTAAATTTTGCAAGGCCCACACGCTAAAGCGCTAACTTGGCCGGGGGTCCAGCACATTTCGCCACTCGGCTGCTGATCGCTGAAAACTTGTCACTGAGCGCGCAACAATTGGAACTGATTGAAAATTCCGACTCTGAGCAGGCCGCCAGCATCTCAAAGTGGTTGTGGCTAAGCCAAAAACTGATACATATGACAACAACCAGCAGACAAGACAACAGTTGCGGCGATTGCTGCTGCTGTTGCTGTTCCTGCCACTTGCATGACGCTCGAACGTGTGCCGTGAGAGCTGCAACAGCAACAGCACCAGCTGCAACAACAACATCAAGGAGACACTGCTTTGGTTTCCACATGTTTTATTGATGAATTTCTGTTATTCATGCAACGATCTGCAGTCGCCGGCAGCGGCTTTACAGATGCCGAAAATGTGCACACAATGCGGCACATACGCACAGTGGGGCAAAATGCGCCTTCTATATACGAAATCAATTCAAAAAACAAACTTTCACGAAATCGAATGGACAACAATTTTAAAGAACAGCTTGAGATAAGTAAAGAATATCCTCGAGTCTTGTGTGGGAAATATATATATTTTTAATCTTTGCCCATCAATTAGATTAAGTCAATGTCGATTCTACGATTCAATTGTAAAGTCAAGTATTTAAACCTTTTGTCACAGTACCTATAGATAACTGAGGATTTGCAATTACCAGCGCAGGTGAGGACTGAGCAAGCGCAAGCGCAGTCGCCATCGCCAACTCCATTTGGGTCTACGTTTTCGGGCTCAGCTTCAGCTTCAACTGGAAGCCCAGTTTCAGCACAGTCCCAACTTGTGAGCAGCCGTCTCGGGCCTCCTTTTATTTATGATTTGCGAGGACACTCGAAGCATTGTGTGCGGATCGATTGCTACGTTTGCTACGCATCTTTTGGTATGCGCTTCGTGTGTGTTCCATAATTAAGTGAATTTAAAGCGCACTTCGGCGGTGGTCGCATTGTCGCCACCGTGGTTGATTCTGGCCCAGCTCTGGCTGTGCTCTGCGGTCAGCCAACTGTGGCATCTATGTGGTTGTTGTACTCATTTTTGTGTGTGGTTGTTTTGTGTTTCGCGTTTTTTTCACACATTTTCGGTGATCTTGAGCTTTGTTTATCGAATTTTCGTATTTATTTTCAATTTTTTTAATCTCATTCCATGTACCCATTTAATGTTTATGATGGGCACATCTGGCGTATGCGTAATAACGCAAATTATACCGTGGCTGCATTGACAGCACACATACACACACGCACACGCACACGCACACACACACGCTCACACACACTAACACGGCAGTTAACGATTATCGCGTGTCGAATGACCGCTTCGACTTTTTAATTTGAGTAAATTGTGCTGTGCACTTTAAGGAAAATGGAAAAAAAACAAACACAGCAAACATCGCCCATCTGTTGGAACTAGCTGAATATTGCCATTTGGAAGAGTGGCCAACAAAAAGGAGCAAAAAGCCAAGCGCACAATCCGAAATTTGCCGCATTTGCATTTATCTACGTCATTGGCAGTTTCTTCGCTTTATTTCAATTTTCTATATTTTGCCGGCGCGACAAATAAACTAAGTGCAAACTCACGGGCAAATGTGGGCAACTGTGCAGCCCGCCCCCTAACTCCTCTCACCCACTAAACCCCCAAGGCCCACCACGACGGCGACAAATAGAATTGACGTTTAATGGTGTCCAATATGCAAGCCGCGCGTGCTGAATACAGTGGCGGTCAAAAAGAAGGGTTTGTGAGACTTCTCGAAAGGCATTTTGCAAATTACTGAAAAAGCCAAAGCATACAATATTTTTATATGACTTTCAGTTTAATTGTTAATTGATCATTATTTAAACATATTGAATACGGCCACGATTTTTGATCTGCTGCACACTATACACACTATGTAACGCCACGAGTGTAAACAGGGTATTGGCTGCGTGCGGCTAGCAAATGTTTTTGGCCATTGCATGCCTTGATAATCGCGCTAAAATGATGACAAAACTGCTGCTAGTTGTGGCTACAATTTTTAATTTTCTAAATGCATTCAGGCACACCATTCGCCAGCTCCTGTTCAGGTGATGGTGCGGGTGTAACAAATGGAACCGAAGCCAAAACTGAAACAGAAAATGAAGTGGACGAAGGCCGAGGGCTGAGGGCTGAAGGCTGCTGCATACACGAATGTGGTGAATGGATGGTTACGAGTGCCAGGGCCAGGGCTGCTCAAATATTCAAAGCGACGCAGGAAAAGAAAACAGCAAAAAATGAAACGCAGACACAAATATAACGGCACTTGTGGTCGACAATCGACAGGCCCACGCAGGCATATGAAATATTGGGCAGACAGACGGAGAGACAGACAGAGACAGAGTCCATAACAGTTAATTATCGATAAAGATATTTCCGCTCGTACATTTGACTTTTTATCGCTGCCCAACCAATGCCAGACAGTGGCGTCCCAATCGATGCACACACACAGACACACATTATTTCTTTGCTGGTGGATTTCTTTGAAGTGGCCCGTTCTCAGGCTCTGGCAGCAGACACTTTGCCTAACCGCGTGCGA